GACAGGCATGATGTGGTTCCTGGTTAATGGTTGACCAGAGAGGATACAGAATGTTTAACTGTTTTTCTTTTATTGCAGAGAACATTATTAATATACTGACCCTGACCTACTGCAGTTTTTTGCATACTTATGTGTATGCAAGTCATGCAAGTCCCATATGGTCTAGTGGTTAGGATTCTTGGTTTTCACCCAAGCGGCCCGGGTTTGACTCCCGGTGTGGGAACATACCTTTGGGGGTGACTTTGGTTCGGTGGGAGGGGCAGTTGTCTCCCACCTGAAGAGTTGGTATTTCAGATCTTTATGCCTGTAGTCCACATAATGAATTGTCTTTGGGCAAGGCACTGAACCCCCAAGTTGCCCCTGATTATTAGAGCCATCGGTGTAAGTTGGCACAGCAGATGGCTGCCTCATTCCTATACCAGAAACAAATTTATTGTGTGTAACATACTTGGCCAAGTAAAGGTGATTATTATTATTTCAGCTTTAACTGCGTAACTAAAAGCCTCATACTACAGTATAGAGATGGCAGGGCTCCTTGCATCCCTGCAAATATAGAAGAAATAGTGCTGTGGTTACAGTTGTAGTCAATACATATAATAAGTGTATGTAGCAGTGGAAACATTTAAGTTTTTTTAAAACATGAAGTGAGAATCAGAGTTAGAGTTATTGGCCAAGTGTGTTGGACACACGAGGAATTTGACTCCGGTACAGTGGCTCTCAATGTACATATGCAATGTTCTTTTATAAGGTGTTAGGTATTTTTAGTCAGATAGATATTGGATAGATACTTTATGTATTAGAAATGTTTAGTGGAGAAAGGACGTTTAGTTAGACTGTTAAATGCTTAGTCATGCTTATGAGTTTCTACAGGGTACATCTGGTCAAGGATAACTAGAGAGAAGAGTTGATGACTGTCAGCAGACAGGATGTTTAATATTATTATTATGATGTGTATAACTGTAGCCTTAGCCATAATATGTTCTTATGTTTAAGTCACAACATGTACTAGAAGTCTGTGAGAATGTTTTTAGTTACACACCACTTAATCAACAGACACACACACACATTGATTTGCTTCATGTTTTGACTACTGCTATGACCAGCTGCAAAGCTGGCAACAGAGACATCTCGGTTGACGTTTCTGTGTAGTATGGGTCTAGCCCAACCGCGGTGATATAATGTATAGGCCTGGTGGGTTCAGGGTCTTCCATCTTACATCTGCCTGCGAGCAGGTTGGAGGTGCAAGATACTTGAGCGTGTAATGTTAATTTTACCTGTGATCCTTTGAATAAATCAGCGCTGTTTTGTAGTTACATGGACTGTCTCGTCTCTCAGAGTTAGCATGGTAACAAGAACCATAATCCTACAAAGGCAACGATTAACGAGATAAGACTGAGAGAACAAAAAAGAATATGCAAACAAGAAAAGGGAATATGCATTAGGTGGCGCGGGGAAGAAACTGTCCTTGTGTCTGGTTGTTTTGGCGTACAGTCACCTGTAGTGCTGTCCAGAGGAGAGGAGTTCAAACTGTTTGTGTCCAGGATGTGAGGGGTCTGCAGAAATCTTCTCTGCCCTCCTTTTGACCCGTGAGGTGTGCAGGTCCTTCATGGAGGGCAGGCATGTTAATACTGTTAAGATAAGTATTTAGGCCAGATCAGTGCAGTATTGCACGGCTTATTAGAGTGTAACAGCTTGTCTTAGTCAGTTAGAAATTTTAGACATTGGTGGGGGCACTACTTAGCAACACGCAGCCACAGTTTCTTTCTCCTGTCCCCACAGGCACTGTTAAATCTCTGTCATTTTGATAATAATGGTGATAATGATAATCACTTTTATTGGCTAAATATGTTACACACACAAGGAATTTGTCTCCGGTACAGAACCAAGGCAGCTGTCTGTGGCACCAACTCACTCACACACACACACACACACACACACACACACACACACACACACACACACACACACACACACATTGTCTTTTCATTCCTTGTGGGGACTTTACATTGACTTACATTCATTTCCTGTAGACTTATCCTAACCTTAACCATAACCGCTACTTGCCGAACCCTAACACCTAATACTTAACCTAACACCTAACCTCACCCTAACCTTAAACCATGTTGCCACCCTAAAATTCAGTGATGGCCGAGTCCCCACAGTGTGTGTGTTAACAGGTTTTGATACCCATAATGTAAATAATACAATAGCACGCACACACACAGCGACTGCGGCGCTGTCTCTGCTCTGGCCAGGAGCAACTTGGGGTTCAGTGTCTTCAACATGTGCACCGGGGAGATCAGGAACTGAACCACCAACCAACTGCCCCTGTTTTTATGTTTGACACTCACTTAGTGGGGGAATTTCACTGCAGGTGTCAGTGATAACGCAGCATGGCAGCACTTGCTTTCCCTTTCCCGTTACTAGATGCTTTGTCATTACTCAACACCCGACCACTTCCTCCTTTTCAAAAGCAGCTTCCTCTCTGTTCCTTTTTGATCCGAGACAATAGGAATGATGTCCTTCAAGTCCTGTGTGAGACTCTAATCCAGAAGTGAAGTCATAGCCGAGCATTTGTACATTTGAATCTGTTTTATGCCCAAAGATTCAAAAGATTTCTGATTTGAAAACATCAGGTAAATATTAAGTTTCTAATGGCTTGTGTTACACCTCTTCATCCTGCATTGGAATGAAGAGCACCTCACTGGTTGATAATGGAGGGTCAGGTCCTATGTGTACTGAATCATTATCTTCATATATGTTTACTGTCTATAGGTTGTCATTCTGATTGCCCATACTGTAAATTTGTTGTGCATTCATGTACACACAACATCAATTGCATGTTTGTCCCTCCAGGAAGTGGGATGCTTCCTCTTAGGTTTGTTCCTTCCACAATTTTGTGATTTTTAATATTGGGCTACATAAATAAAATTTGAATTGACATTGTGATTAAGTACATTATTCAAACATTGGGAATATGTAAACAATGTAATGGCAAATGTTCTGATGAGAAACTTTGTGGACCAAAAATTCAGCAGAGCAATTTTGATCAAATGGAGCAAGTAACATACATAAATCCCCTAGACTGAGATCTATGCAGTATATAGCTGTGATTTATTTTATTTTAGCAGTGGATTTACGAGGACACGACCAGTCCATTTTGCCTCACACTCAGAAATCTGTAGGTCTGTCAACTTACCATCATCTTCATCAGCAGACTTTGCAGGGCCAGCAGGGGCTAACGATCTTATTGGTTCTCACTGACCATGATGGCATCAGCCATTGTAACGCCTCAAATTCCCTGCTAGTTTCGGAGTTGTCTCACTTGTTTATGATGTAATAAATTGCACCTGCCTATTAACTTCCATTCTCATTAGAACTTTGTTCATTCATTTTGTATAAATCAGACGCTGACCTAGTTTTGTAACACTGAAAAGAGACCAATGATCACAGGTTTTGCAATTCCTACTTTTTTTATTAAACACAACATGAACTAATTGTTTTATAAATCACTTTGTTGAGTTTTCCAAGCATGCTAACAAATACCAGTGGGAAAAAAAACCTTAAGATAGGACGCAATACGTCTGTTGTCTGAAACCATCCCCCCACCCAGCCACTTCATCCCTCCCTCTCCAACCGGATACAAAGGCACATTAAAAATATAAAATAACGAACCATAGGAAATGAACTATAGCCCCCCCCCCCCCCAGCCACTTCATCCCTCCCTCTCCAACCGGATACAAAGGCACATTAAAAATATAAAATAACGAACCATAGGAAATGAACTATAGTTAGTATAAATTACAGTACATATACATAAAAACTAATATGTTGATAGGAGTCATTCACAGGGCATTAAATACTTTGACATGGTGGCATTATTAGTCACTCCATTCTTCTGTTACGGTGACAATAGAAAAATAGGGTATATAAAAGGTGTCCATATTTTTTAATTATCAGATTTTTCTTTTGTACTAAATTTAACTTTGTTTAACTTTAAGTGAAACACTAAATCTCTCAACAGCCTGGTACAACACCTGGGTAAACCCCAATGTTTTTAAAATAAATTACAGTAACATTGACCTTCATATCAGTCTAATTGCAATTACTGAAGATTTCTGCAGTCGGTAATGATTCGTTTTGTAAATCCCTTATAACTGTCGGGTCATTAACAGGTGTTTTCAAGAACAGAAGAATACAGAAGACTAATAGGTGTTAGAAATAAGAGAGGGTGATGGTGGGGGATAGATGGTCTTTGTGACTTTTTTTTTTTAGGTGGAGGCTGGGAGGTCACCCACCAGCCCAACACCACCACTACCCCCTCCCCTCCTCCGTCCTCCCTCCTGCCTTGGCTATTCTCCATGTGCCGGGCTCAGAGCCTTGGGAATGAATGGCGCCCAGGCTCTGCTCCGTCTTTGAAGCCAGCCAGGAATGTGAGGCCTCTTTTTTCTCCCCTCACTCTCTGTTGTTCGGGCGGCCGGCAGAACTATCTGCAGCAGTGAAATATTCCCTCCACTGCGCTCATTGTGCAACAGGGAGTCGGACGTCATTGGCTGACCAATCAGTGGCTCCCACTAGGCAGCCTCGGATCTTGGTGGGGGGAGAAAGGACTCGCTAAAAGTCTTCGTTCTAATATCTGGCTCTCCTGGTTACTTGGTCTACTCCCTTTTCAGAGGAAGAAATATGTCCTGAATGAGAAACAACGACAGAGATCATTAGACTAATCCTAAGTCAAGATCAAGAAACGTATTTCTTTCACAAATGGAAAGCAGGAAGGTCAGTGACTTAGACTCAAAGTTTGGGTGAGTTTTGCTTTGTTTATATTTGTATATACATATATATTTAGATTTTTTTTCTTGCTAATGGTGCTCTCAAAATTTATAACCTTTTATTGGAAACAGTCTGCAAGTACTGAGTATTTCTCAGTCAGACTTGCTGGTATGGCTGTTGATCCAGTCTTCCAACTGGTGTTTAGCTTTCCTGCTGTCATTGTTCAGTTCTCTTGTCTCTTGTTGTTGTAGTTTGCGTGTCAGGGTATTTGTCTGGACTGGTCACCCTCTACCTCACCCCTCCTCTTCCCTTCTCTTGTCTCTGTACATTTTGTCAGTGCCTGTGCCCTCCATCTCTTCCACTTGAGTGCTCCCCAGTTTGGGAGTCTCTTTCTCTTCGCAGAGGGAAGAGAAGGGCTGGAAACCACATACACAAAGACACACCACAGATCGGAAGGCTCTTCATAAAAACATGGAATCCTCCTTAATTCTGTAGTTTGAAAGGCGTTTTGGAGCCATTTTTACTGTGTGTGCAAAACAACCACCTAATATTCATCTTGGATTCAGGTTTTTCAGCTCAGCTAACACATTTTTTATTCATTGGAATTAATTACAAGGGAATTTTCAGTTGTCCATTTAATGCTGTTACTGAGTGGTCATTCAACACAGAATTTTTATATATGTTGTTTAGGAGTGCTTTTGGTTGTTTTAAGGGCCTAATATTGATACTGCCATGTCTGTTTGACTTGTCTTTGTTTTACCATCAACACTGACCCTTGTGTATATGTGACAGGTGTGTAGCTTCAACCTAATGACAAAGTCAAGGAAAGACATGCAGGTCATAGGTGAGAGAAGCCTACATTTACTCTGTGATTAGTGTCCACAGTAAAGCCTAAACCTATCATTAACTTGCACAGACTCATTTCTGTAGTGATGACTTGAGTTTTCGGAAGATTTGATGATGATAGAGCTCTCTGTGTTAAAAGATTACAGAAATTTTATATCTGCAAGTTTCAGTTCTGTGTATTTTTACCATGAGAGATGGAGAACCTATTTTGATTCGGATGATGGAACCTAACATAAACCATAATCACTATTAAGATGAATCGGGTTCTGGTCATCAAAACACTTATGATAGTCTTAATGAATGTATGAGTGCTGTAGTAGAATCAGTTTGAAAAGCCCAGACATGGATTGGTTACAGTCTTTGCCAATTTATTTTCAGTTAATTTTGCTTTACTGCATCTCACCTGGAAATAAATTGATTTTATGATAAAGGACAATATAGTGAGTGCTTGTGAAAGTTTAACCATGCATAACTTTTAGATTTTGGGCACTTCTTTGACAAAAATAGCTAAAGTCATACACTTTAGTATACCAAGAATTATAAGGTGAAAAGGTAAAGAATCCTTTATGGGCCGCAGAGCTTTATAACAAGGCATTATACATCTGTCACATGACTAATCTTCCCATATTTCTGTTGTTCCATATGACATTCCTGACATTTTTCATGCGTGTGTGCTGCAAACCTCAGGGCCCTTAATTAGAGGCCTCATTGATGCAAAACAGCAGACTCCTTCAACAGTAATTGTACTGACCTTCAAAACCAAGCTGCAGTCAACTGTGTGAGGTGTAGGACAAAAAAATGACTAAAAACCTTTCTGTTCACATTCTTAGCTTTGGTTTTTAGTGTAACAGGAGGTGATGAGCTTTAAACCAGACAGAGGTGCTTATTTCTATATTGGGGAGTATACTTTGCTATTAACTTTTTGGCACAAACTTATTCAATATAAATGCTTGAATGTTGGCTCTAAACTAGAAAATGTCATTAATTCTAAGTGCAAGATGAGTGAATGACCTTGTGACTATGGTATGAAAACGCCTGAGATCTAACAAGTAGAGTTAGATTTTAAGGATTTTTCCTTAGCACTACCATGTACCAGCAACCCCACTCTGTTGGGGAAGCATAAACCTTTTTTTTTTTACCTGATACTGTAAGTTCTCTACTGGAAAAACGGAAACAAAAATACATTTCTCCATGTTGTCTTTCTGATTGTTCAGATTGTCTTTCCTGCTTATAACAGATGGAGCTTACTTACTTACTGTTTTCTGGCATCTTAATAACATTTAAGCAAAAAGCACTGCATAAATATTCCATGCATACAGTGTAGATGAAGTATACATACAGTTGTTTTTACTTTAATGTGGCAGTGTAGCTGTGTGTGTTGTTAATGAAGCAGACAGGTCAGGTTGACAATCAAACAGTGATATGCATGTTTGTTAAAACAGCTATGCAGTTGGATGTTTGTATAGAATACACAAAGTCATGTGATATATGGAGTATCAGTCATTCCTTGACGTTTTTCTATTGCTGTTTGAAACATGTTTTGTCAGGCCATTTTACTCTTGAGCAGTCATTTGCCTCAGATGTGTTACTGGAGCGTAGGCCCTGAGTTTAGACTTCAGTCTGATAAGCAGTGTTTGTGTTTTGTCCCTCAGGAGCTGGTGAACAGAACGTTTCAAGAGGCTTGGAATAAACGAACAGGAGGCAGGAAAATGACCTAATTAGCAAGAACCGTGGCGAACAACCTGGAGCAAATGTGTTGGTGGTAATTTCCCCAGTTTCACCCACAAGGCACACACATGCATCAGCGCACATACACGTACAACACATTTGCAAACCCTGCCCTTCCCTTCCTGCCATCCACCCCAGTCCTCCATGGATTCCTGCAGCTTCCACTTTGAGAGAATGAGCAACGTAGATCTGCATCCTCTGAGCCTCCCTATCAGCCGGCTCTCCCCAGCCAAGTCCAGCAGTAGCATTGTTGACCAACTTGCCCACCATCAACACGGCAAAGGAGACTCTGCCTACAGCTCCTTCTCTGGTGGGTCCACTGCCCCAGACTACCCCTCTCCCTTTCTCTCAGACGATTTACAGTCCAGCTCCTTCAGCCACTATGCTGATCTTAGGTTTGTAAAATCCATTTACCATCCAACCCACGTTCTACAGTCCGACTCTAAAACCATGGACCAGCTCTGTCGATCTATGGAAGCTATCTCCCAGCATTATCACAACAATACCAGCACCAATATAAACCACCACAACCTCAAAGACAATGATGGTGTCCATACCAACAACAAAACAGTCTCTAAACAAGAGGTGTCTTTGGGGGTTCCATCCCAAAGTGCTCCTGCCCATCCTCCTCCAGTCCCAGCACGCCTGGATAGTTTCATAGCCACAAAAAACTTAGAGAACAGCAGGGTCCACCAGCACAGTCCTGAGTTTAAACCGCAGCAGCCTAGACCCTACAATCGACCCCATCCCCCACCTTATGGTTTGAATACCTCAAGACCTGAGGCTAACCCAGATTCAGGTAACTCAAGCTTCAATTCTGACCCAGTGTATCCAGTTTGGAGGGGCTCTCAACAGCGCCAACCACAGCCCCAGCAACCACCAAGCTACCGCCCCCCCCTCCAGCCTCGTGATCAGACTAGGTTGCCACTGAACCCAGAATACCTTTTCATCACGGATAACAAAGCTGCCTCCGAGCAGCATAAGTCAACAAACATTCTAAGCCGATCGCCTCCCAGAGGCACAAGCCAGCCTGAGGGCCTGAAACCCAGACAGCCCTCAACTAGTGCAGGATGTAATGGAGACCATCACAACAAGTTCAGTGGTAGCAGTAGTCATTTTCAGAGACAGCGCAAAAGGGCGCACTCAGCTTATGACTGGCTTGAGCCAGATCCAACCCAAGATACCAGCCCCTGGAATGCTGGTCAAAATTTTATCAACAGCAGCATACAGCATAAGGGTCAGTTCTACTTTGTCACAGGAGTATGTACACTGTCTGATTCTAGTATGAGGACACACTCTGCATCTGTGTGTGGGTCTGAGGCCAGGAGTGACAGCTCCACTGTGCTGGAAAAGTACCAGCTGAGAGAAAAAGACAGATCCCACAGTACAATGGATAATTTGTTTAGACCCCTCGAAGAGAGTTCTCGCACCTCCAGTGGTACGATACCAGATGAGATAGAGGTTTTCACTTCTGTGTCGCAGAGCAAGAACCTGTCTTCCAGGAGTCAGGATCAGGAGAATCACACACCATCATTCATCTCAATGCAGTCCTCTCGAAGCTATGATGCCTTAGAAGAAATAGACATGATGCAGAATCGAGAGATTGGCCGTCACACTGCCAGTAACCCTATATTCTACTGTGGTCCTGACAGAAACTGCTCCCCACATTCAGCCATGCAAACAAAGGGGGTTGCTACGATGATAAGCAATGAACAGCCCAGCCAGTACAAGAGAGAAGAGCAGGCAAAGAAAGGAAAACACCATCCCTTGGGGGATGTAGCTAGTGAGCGGATAAACAAAGAAACCACTCCACTTCTGTACCATCTCACCGGAGCCAGCAGGGCATCGTTACAGCCTAATAAGGATGCTGGTTTCAGTATAAAAGGCAAGGATGCAGTCCTAAACAAAACAAGTCATGGGGATACGGTGAACGATAATGAGAGCCCTCCACATGGTGACGTGAGCAGAGAGGAGGTTATCTCTGTTGCTTGTAACACTTTGGATGACTCATTTACAAAGTATTACAAAGAAAAGCTGAAGGATGCCCAGTCAAAAGTCCTGAGGGAGACATCATTTAAAAGGAGGGACCTGCAGCTGTCATGGCCACACCGTATCAGGCAAAAACCTGAGCTGAGGCCTACAGTGGTTCACTGTTTCTCCTCATCACAGGACTCTGAGACTTCCACAGACACACTCACTCCTTCTGTGACCTCTGAGGAGACAGAGAGGGGGAGCATAAAGGAAGCAATCAGGGAGAATCAGAAGAAGATGGACAACGGGACTGAAAAGGAAGACGGGAGACCAGCAAATGTGGCCCAGCCCCAGGTGGCACGCATCGGAGGCAGGAGGCGACTAACTCCAGAGCAGAAAAAGATGTGCTACTCTGAACCAGAGAAACTCAACCAGCTTGGTGGTGCCCCCAACCACTCTGCTTGCCGCTCCTTTGGCAATGAAAGTGATAACCTGATTGCAGTTGAATGTGAAGGAGAGGAACCTGAACAGCAAGGAGAGCAGGGACTGGTTGCAGCACGGAGGAAGATGTTTGAGACAAGAGGTCGAGCCCTTTCAGCTCCTAGTTCCTCAAAGACAAACCTAAAACATCTGCAACATAAGGCCCTGGTGGAGTACATGGAGCGTAAGACAAGTCAGAAAGTGGCTGAACCTCAGCAACCAGCACCTCAGTTACCACCAGTTACCAGACAGAGGTACTCTCTGGGGGAGAAGCCATTTGACTGGGGTCCCAGGCCCCTATCAGGAAATCACGAAGGCAAAAATATGAAGAAGAAGCTCTACAGACCCCACTCTGCGGGCCGCATCCTTGATTCTGCCACTGGTTCCATCAGGTATAAAAGAGAAACAGAGCCAGAGCAAGAAAACACTTTTGAGCCATTGTTTGTTCTATAGATCAAATCAAACATTTCAATTATTGTGTTTTAATTTTCACAAAACAGGTATGCACAGTTCTTCTCAGCGCAGTCTTGTTCAGGCCAATATGCTGGTCACTCAAATCAACCTAGGTGGAGGGAGAGCAAAGGTCCATCTCAGGGGAAGTCTGCCTCAGTGGAGAATCTCTTGGACCAGCTAGAAGCACCTAATTTCTTCAGGAACAGATCAACATCCACACCACATGCAATTAATGTGTGGACACTTATGCCAAATTTGAAGAAATTCCCTCAAGGCATTTCTGACATATCGCATTCACAAGAATGGGACAAATGCCAGGTCACACTCAGGAACGCCTTAAGGGAATATCTTCAAATTTGGCTCAAGCGTTCACTTGGACTCAGTGATGAACTGATTAGATTTTGGTGGTCAAAGGTCAGTGTCAGTGGTCACTTCTGTATCATACCTGTGAATTTGACTGGTTGGCGGAGGCATATTACCATGAAACAGTAATTCTAGTTCTACAAGCAAGCAAGTTAGAAACAAAATCACAGAAAAGCTGCATCTGCCTGTTACTGTACTATTTCACAGTTATGTCACGTACTGTGTTAATCAAAATCAAACGTTTGTCTACCCATTCAAATGTCATTCATGTGTTGCCTTTCTGTTGCTTTTCTGGGTCTTGCAGGCACATGACGATGAGAAGGATGCCTTACCAGATAATTCTATGGAAACCTGCAGGTATGTGCCTTCACTGCAAACAAACGTTTAGAAGTTTTAGGTCAGTAATGTGTATGCTGTAGCACAGGATATAAATCTCAAGTCACTGTGGAGCTGGAAAGTCAACACCCGCATGCGCCAGCAAGCCAGCATTCCTTTCAAAAGATTTATGCAGACTATAAATGAAAAATCATTGAGTGAACCATTTTCAAGGAGTTGACCTGTTTCTCCTAGTAGGAATATGAGATTATTATTGCCAGTGTTGAAATAAAATTGTCCAGATCCCTTCTAGAATGCATTTATTTTGCCTTCAAGTAATATGGACAGGAAATTGTGACCGTTTTTGTTTTCATTTTCAAGGCCAAGACTTTCTCTTTTAAAGCAAAACCATTTTATATGTTGCATGGCTTATGCTACACATCTTAACACTTAATGTCAATTTCAGTCCCCAGAAGGATGTCACTCAGGTCTCCTTGGAAAAGCCAGGCCCCAAGGGTCCTCAGCATGTCTCTATGGCTGCACAGAGGGGTAAGTCTATGGAAGAGCTTGGAGCATCAAAATTACCAAGAACTTCAGCTCTGAGTAAAAGTTCTGAGCACCTGGATCAACTGTGGAGGCATTCGACTGAACCTGGAGGACCGGACAAAGACATTTCATTCATTTCCGAAGTTAGAAAAGCCCAGGGGCAGGAGAGAGGGAGGAAGAAACAATGTGTATCAGAGCAAGAGGAAAAAGACTCAGAGATTGTTGGTCAGAAGAACACTCAGGGTCAGACTCAAAACCAAACCCAGAAAAAGTCCTTGATAAAGCAGAACTCAGAACCAGGGGAAGCTGCGACAGTAGGAACAAGGAGCTCAAGTAGATCCACCTCCCCGGCCTCCTACTCCTCTTCTCAAGCCAGGGTTCGGTCTGCATCTCATGGTGCAGATATGTTGAGGTCCAGTAGACCACCCAGTGAAACTCTGTCTAACCCCCCATCGCCCAGAAGTCTAGAGACCAGTGAGAGGAACATCAAATCCACCTTGTCCACTCCCAGCCAGTCAAATCTTCCTTTTGAAAACAAGTCTTGCTTCAGGTAAGATTAGACTCAGTGTCAATGCAGCAGTTATTTCTTCCTTAAAATGATTTGGCTAGTTAAACATGCCAGGCTATTTTTTTCCACAACCTACTTGCATTCTCATTATTTGATTGTATTAGCCCTCAGGCTAATACAAACGAGTGTTTGTGATTCTGAAAATACAATTTTACCCAGGTGTGATTTGTAATCACAATTTATTTAACTTCCAAGGACCTCTCCTTCCGTGACTGCATCAGAGAGAGAGCAGTCAGTGGATGAACCAAGCAATGACGCCCTACCACATGAAGTGTCTCTGAGCTGTGGTGTCACCACAGATCCATCGCTGTGGATGCTCCCCCCAGAGGAACAGATCCAAGAGGAAGTCCAGATTTCACTGCTGACAGACATCGTTTTAGAAGAGAAGTCCACCAGCGTAGCTCCTCAAATGCAGACAAACGAAACCTGTGTGTCTCCCTGCACCTCCACCTTTGATGTAGACATCAGTCAGCAGGTGGAGGAGGAGAAAAATCCAGAAATGGGAGATGAGAGGTCTAGAGAAAACCAAAAGGTAGAGGAGAGGGGAGCACCAGAGGGAGAGACGGAGAGCCTGGAGAGGCCCAGTGGGAGACCTCAGTGGGAGGAGCTTGTAGAAGCAGTGGTCAAGGCCGACCAATCACTGGCCAGAGTGCTCTACCCACTGGCCAATCGTAAGACGGCGCTGATGCTGATGGAGCAGCTACTATCAGAGGACACACTGCTGATGGAGGAGCACTACAAGAAGAAACAGGAGCAGAGAGGAGCAGCAGAAAGGTAAATGTCTATGTGAAATATTACACCAGTTAAAGCAGTCATAAAGAAACTCGTCTGTTTTACTGCCTGCCTTAGAGAAGGCAGCACACTCCTGAGAAGATGTATTCTGAAATTATGAATATGACTTCTTCACAGAAAGTAGGTCTAATATATTGAAAGTGGGCCTGGAAAGTAAGATAATTGGACATAATATGATTTTGACTACATAACCCTTTACTTAGGATATGGTCATCCATCTCACTCATGTATCAAACTATTTTAGAGTTGACAGGGTGTTGGTGCAGACAAACCCAGGTTAGTTTCATGTGAAACGATACTGATTACTGAGGGCAAAAGAGCTGAGCTCCAGTGCTGTGTGCCCTTTTGCATCACATGCAGACACACCTGGCTGTTTGCTTACTGGTATATGTACGCAGATTTCCTGCCAGCATGAGCACATTTTAGTAAGTAAATAACAATGGCCCTGCTCAGAGCACGCTGCATGTGAAGATAATAATGTGTGACGCAGCAAAAATGGACTGAGCCAGCAGAGTGCAAGGCATCTTTACCTAAACCCTGTCTTTCTTCTTCTAGTGTTGAAATAGTGAAAGGGGCTGAACCATCTCCTTGTGCGTCTGATCCTGACAGCCTTAAACCTCAGTGTGCAGACCTGCAGAGCAAAACAGACATTACAGAGAAGAAGGTAATGAATAATTTATGCAAGATAGTGTGTAGTTTTCATAAAAGTACCTGAAAACGTGTGTATTTTAATCATTCAGACAAAGAAACAGTCTGAAACTCATTTCTTTGTTCCATTTATGGTAAAATGACAACAAACCAGACAGAATGAACATGTCTTTTACACTATGAACCACAAACTTTAAACTGTGGCCCCACTGTTTTTTCTTTTTTTTTTTTTAAACACAAACTTGGTGGTGATCTCATATTGATACCATCTGGATGCTATTTGGCCTTAAGTGGACTCATTTCAAATAGTTTTATCTCTTATCATATGATGTACTGTCTGCCTCTTATCAGTGTCTCCCACTTGTCTAATGTTTGGTTTAGCAGATAGCCTCCCCCGTCTTCCTGACTGCCCTGCACATTCACTTTTCTTTACAGTATACCTTTATCCATGATCCTAGGACAGCAAATGTGAAATACATATTTTAATGTTTTACTTGGAATTTAAAATTAGGTGGTTCAGTCTTATTTTTCCCTGTTATCTATTTATCTATCACATCATTGCATTAATCGTCTCACCCATTTCTTTTCTTTGCTGGAATGGACAGCGTCTATTAGTGTCATTTATTGAGGACCACCTGCGCTCACTGGAGGAGATGCGTGGTGCCCTCCAGGTAGAGATTCAGGAGAACATGGCTCTAGGGGAGACGCTGGAGGTGCTGGTCCGTGACTGCTGTCTGCCTGTGGAGCTGGAGAGGTACAGCCTGTTCATAGGAGACCTGGAGAGGGTGGTCAACCTGCTGTTATGCCTCTCTGCTCGGTTGGCCAGGGTGCAGAATGCCCTGAGCACCGTGGACCAGCACACAGATGTTGAGGATAAGGTGAGGAGCCAAAACCGTTATGTTCAGACCCTTTTTTTGAGATGAGTGGATTCATAAATTGTCTTCCTTACATTCTTTTGTTCCCCCTTGATTTCTGTATTACATGTTTGAAAAACAGCTTGCAACACCTTGAAACTACAGAAGAATTTATTGATAAGTGACTGCATTCAGTGGCCCTCCACAGCCTGCGATTTCTGCAAAAAAATAAGCAAATTCACACAAACCTTTTCACAGCACCCATCTAGTCTTTCTTCTTTTTCTGTCAGTATAATGAATGTGGTGTTTTCACCATCAGTTCACAAAAACACTGATTATTCATAAGTAAAAAGTAAATAAAAGCATGGAACCACAACTTGAGTCCTGTAATCAAAATCTGCTGCTGTGCCTTTTTTCTTTGGCTTCTCTCACACTATTGTGAATGAACGTGAGCCATACCCTGACTGATGTTTGGGCTGAAGAGCCACTGAATCAGTTAAACAAGGTGTGATAAAAGTCTGCTGATGTACAGTGCTCTTATGCACTGCCATGTGCTCTGTTTATTATGATCCGATTAACACTCCTGTTGTTTCCCCAAAGTTGTTTACACATACACATGAATGCTTGCAAATAGAAGCATACTGTCAATACATGGTTATATAACCTTACAGATCTTATGATTCACTGCAGCTCATTTAGAGTTTCTGGCAAAAAAAGACAACCTTGAGTGTTAGAAGTGCATGGCTGCTCCCATGCCCTCAGCTATACTCTTGTAATATTTGCTTTAGAGCTGCAAACATGCCACTTGTGAAAAGTTGAAGGGTGACTTTAATGGAGCTTTCACACTGTGTGGAATTCAAAAAATGCTGTTAGGTTTATCTGTGTTTAATGACCCATTTTTAGCCTATTTGAGACTGAGCTTTTCTCAGACATTTGTGATATACTGCAGTTTGATATACTGTGTTTTACTTTAAATGCTTGTTGCCCAATGGTTTGATATATGGAGAAATAATCACCTGAATTTCAATATGCTGCATCTGAGGCAGACACCATCATTTAGGTTTATTTTAAATGTCATTTTATTTACTTCCTATTGATTTCATTATGATTTTGGGGTCTAAGATGATAATGAGTGCTCTCAGAGGATCCTACTTGAGTTCTGTGCTCTGAATATTGTGCTTCATTATGCATCCCAGGATTTTCACCATCAGTTTATGTTTGTGTGGGTGCATTAGATTTCCATGTTTATCCCTGAAAGAGCCCTTTGTTAGTTTGTCCATCTATAAAATGCTGCTGCATACTGAGAGCTTATTAGAGGCTCATTTGTTTTCTTGCTGTTATCAGCAACACTGGTATTTACATTGTGTCACCGAAACTCCAGCTCAGTTTCGATGACGTTTGTATCTACCCTGCCCTCTGTTGACATAAGGAAACACTGCACCTGTGGCTGTTGAAAACCTCATGGTGCAACTTTGACAGCTTGGGTGACATATTGCCTTTTAATTAAAACAAAAAACCTGTGGTAAAAATAACAAAGCTTTTTGACATTATATTCAGAACAGTATACACACCATCTTCTGACATGAATTCAGCACCAGAATAAGGTTAACATTTCAATAACAGACCTAACATATTTCTTTGCCTTTTATCCTCTTCCCTTGTCTGTCTATTCAGCAATCTCTGGACAGTCGCCATCGTCTGCTGTGCAAACAGAGGGACGACGCCAAAGATCTGAAGGATAACCTAGATCGGAGAGAGAGCCTGGTGTCCAGCTTCCTGTCACGCCAGCTGTCTGCTGAGCAGCTGAGAAACTACCGGCACTTTGTCCAGACCAAGGCCTCGCTGCTCATCCGGCAGAAGGATCTGGAGGAGAAACAGAGGCTTGGAGAAGAACAGCTGGAGGCGCTTTTCAACAGCCTGAATCTGTGAGGAGAGGAGAGGCAGCAAAAGAGCTGGATTTCTCCTTCCGTCTTTACTTGCCTTATAAGAAGATATGTATGAAGTTTTGGCTGTACTTTGCTGCTCAGTTTGCATGGTGGTCCAGCTGACGTTCCAGCCCTCTGCACCCTCTCATGACTTTATGTCCTTTAAAAGCATCTGACACAGTGACAAGGGAGCCTTCCATGCTATTCTGCTCTCCTCCCATAACTACAGGCTGCATATGAGATGAACGCTGTTGATGTCTTTCTGTCATCTACTTTGGATGCCCAGAAGACTCACCCACTTTCCACTCAGCACCATGCTCAGTCTGCACAGTCTGCAGTGTGCATCTGAAGACTGGTCTCCTTAAGCTGTACTGTACATGATTCCTTTGACTTTAAGCAAAACTCTTCTGTGTGCCTTGCTATTGGTGTCGCAGTGGAACATTTTCCATTAGTGCTGCTGTGTGGAAACTTTGCACCCCCTGTTAGCGATTCAGCAATAGTTCTTTGTGTTTTGTTCAGATGGTAGTGCTGCAGCCCTCTGTCTGCACCTGTGGAAACCTATTATAAGCTTTAAGATTGTATTTTGACCAGCGAGAAGGCTTCAATCAAAGAGAGTAGCCTGAGAGAGGCGGTGTACTGTGTCATGTCAGTAAAGTGTACAGTAGATGTAGTAAATGTAATTTTTGTTTCAATATTTTTAATGTGTTTCAAAATAAGGCACTAAAAACCAAAAAAGGTGAATGAAAAAGCACTTTGTAACCATATATACATGCACATTTCATCAAATCAGACTTGTTTTCAAAATCATTCTAATGAAAGCCTAATTCCATCCATTGAAATAATATTTCTGTTTCACTTCTCTTTTGTTTTGTCAGTAATTTTAAACAGGAATGTTGAAGGTATGTTTTATAAAACATATATGAGCACACCCAGCAACATTAACAACTGTGTACAAACACTTTTCCAGCTAATTTCATACTTCATGCTTTTAAGTCTTGATGTTTTCATGCTGGAATAAATCTTCATACAGAGGTGCTAAACCTCTTTAAACCAGATTATAAATTAGCAGCAGTTATATCATTATGAGTATTTTCTCAGACACATGATACTTGAAATAGCTTTTTTTTATAAAGATAAGTCCATAGTCTTCACTTCAGGTGTCTTAAAGTTTCTATGCTCTACCTCCACAGCGTAGCCCCTTTTAAACACATTTCATCTTTATTTAATTACTTTACTTTTACATTTGTCTCTAATGAAAAAGGTCTTCTTGATAGCCCTAAATGAAAACACACACACTTGACTCAAATGGATTACCCCTTTTTTAAAGACTCTCACATTTTTCAGCAACACCTGTGATTCCACATTAATATTTATCTTTAGTTTTTATAGTTATATTCATTTCTTTCGAACTTTATCTTCATCCAGATTCATTGGAGAGCTTTGCATCAAATTATGTCTTAATTTTGTGTCAGTTGTTGAACAGAAAGACAGAACTCCTCTTTCTGTTTGCAAATGTTAGTTTCACCAGATCATAAAATGATCTAAATTTTATGTCCCCCTGCAAATTATACCTGTTGGCTGTACTGAAAACAAGTGATCCAGTGTATGGCCTGGCTGTTGTGCATGTGATATTTATGTAATAATGAACGCAAAGGGGCAGAGCATCATTAGCAGCCTCCACACACACACGCACAAAATCATGCATTCACAAACACAAACTATCAGACAAATATCGGAAACTAGGTCCTTTTTTTTTTGACAGCTTCACAACGTCCACCGCCACCCCTAAAACTCTGTCCCTCTCTGTTTGCTAAACAAGTATGTTTTTGTTTTGGCCTTTGTGCTGGCGCAGGACTCAAAAGACTCGCATGTTGTTCTCTGCAACCTGTTGGAATTCCTAAAGTATGTGAATGATCAGCATTTTGGAGGAAGAGAGAGAGAAAGTGAGGAAAACGCTCCCACAGAGGAGCAGGACATGGGTAAATATTCATTTTAGTTATTGTTATTTGTGCACCCAGACAAACATTTGACAACTTTCTGAGATTTGCCTTCTTCCTCTTATCCAATCAAATCAGAGGTCACTGAAAAGATGCCGGTTTCTGAAGGATTGTATTGTTTAGTTGGGGGATTTTGTTTTATATACTAGAGACATGAGACACTGAAGCAAACAGAATCTTTTTAAAGCCAAGAAGGAAAGTCATATTCCAGTGAGTCCCTGCTTGTGGGATGACAACAGAGATGTTTCTAAATCTGCTATAACTCATACCGTTTTTCTGTTGAGAGTTTGTGTTTTTTGTGCCTCTTTGGGGTTGTAAATTCCACGCTCTTTGTAATATTGTGAATAAATTAAGTTCTCCTTCGAGTGTTTCACATTTCTTCTTTTTCTTCCACAGCAAGCTTAAAGTCATAAAGGCAGTTTTGCTCAAATCAGAAACACTAAACAGATGGAAGACAACAGCAGGCACACGCAGTATATCCAATCTGAACAGTAGAAAACAGTCGGTACAGGGTCAACACATCAAGAGCAAGATGGGACAGACTATACATAGAACTGCAAAATATCTGCTGCATTAAATATTTATGGGATTTATGTTTGGTGCATATATTGCAAAATTCAAGGTGTGACAGCACTGAAAGTAGGATATTTTGTCATATTATTTCATTTAAACTTATGAAATGCTATTATTTACTGCCATATTTTGGCTTTCCTCTAAAGGTTCAGCTTCCCCAGCAGCTGAGGCTTTAGCTCAGAGTTCATCTCTGCCCTCTGCAGGCACATGAACACATGGCCACTGATAATCAAGTCATTTAGGTTTTGTTTTACATTAAATAGAAACTTGGAGTTGTGGGGATCAATGAGCAATTAAATTCCTCACAGTCAAGAGAGGACAATAGTTTTAAAGAATACTGTCCAAAAATAGGCTGAAGTAGACCTTAGAAAAAACTAATAAATTCTTCTGATATTATTACTTTGCTTTTAATCACTATATTTTACTTTGTGAAGATACTGACCAGAAGGCTACTAATGTTTGTTGTATTTGCAGTAACCAGCCTCTTTCTTGTCTCTTTCATGCCACTCTGCCCTCATTTGTTCAGCCTCAGACTGAACAGAATGGACTGAGGAAAAAAATGGACTTCGTGTTGGCAAGTGGCAAAAGAAACCCCCAGGAGGGCAGTGGGAGACAACGGACAGCAGTCAGTGTACTTTACAAAGTAAAGACAGTTTGAATCAGACTCTCACTGAAGGCAGGAAGGAATTCTAAACATCTAAGATCTTTGTCAGGCACTAATTACATGGTAATTAAATTTAGCATCATTACAAAGACAGTGCAAATGATGGAGCACTTGGCAGTGTAAACTGCCGTCAACAAACAGGAGGGAACAGGATGGCCTGGACACTGCAGCAGCGGTTCTGTCATACTGCTGGATAATGAGAAGCTTTGCAGCTGATAATCACCATGTCCTTCAGTCTCAGCTGTGATGCAGGGAAACTGAAAATAGTGGATGGAACCTAACCTCCAGCTGGGAATCTACACCACCAATGAAAAAAAGTGTGATCTTTATAGCTTCATGCCACCAACTAGCTGTGCTAAACTGGTTATAATATACAGTATCTGTACCGCGGCAGGAGGGCTGTTTATCAGGAGCGATGACTCAGTGATCGCGCCGCAGGTGCTCTGATTAGTGGCTTCAAGGCTCATGTTTCAGCCTGAACTCTGAACTTTCTGCCTGCAGGAATGTCAGCACATGCTCACACTCCTCCTATCAACCTTCTCACAGCTCAGTTATGGTGACTAGTTCCTGGCTGTATTGGTTTTATATCACTGTGTTTCATTGCCTATAATGTTTTTGACATTGTTAATCATACGTTTAGACCCTGAGGTCATAGTGGTGGTGTTGTCTGTTACAGCATCACCTCAATTTAGTTGTAAACATATAAAATAATTTAATGTGTTCTTTCTTTCTTATTCTATTATCAGAAAGGCCAAGAAGCTGCTATGCATGGCCTGCAACTTCCTGTAAAGCTGAGATTGTTTGTGTGTGTGCAGCAATATACAGCTTGTTACCTGAAAAAAGATGAAAAACAGTTTAGTATCAAAAACTATTTTTAATTGTGTAATTGAGCAGAATTATTGTTCCTTATGTCTAAAGGACTTGAGTGTTTCTTCCACCACTCTGACTTTTGGTCCTGACCTTGTGTTAGTTGTTGGTCTTTCTCCTCACAGCAGCTGCAGAAAAAAAACATTTACTTAACAACGGGGCGACAGTGGTGTAGTGGATAGAGCAGTTGTCTGAACACCGAACCCCCCAAGTTTCCCGTGATGGTGGTGCGTATTCACGCAGCGCCCCAGGGCCCCTCAGCTCCACACAAAACCTCGTTGGACGTGTTACAGTGACAATAAAATAAAGCTTCTTTTACAAAACCCTGAGGCTTGCAGACAAGGCTTGACATAAAGACAATGTGTACTGCTGGGGCAGGGACAGATGAACAGCAGGAGAATGAGGCTGACCACATGATGCATACATCGCTAAATACCCATAATTTTTTTCCAAGCAAGTTGCAGCATCTCATCAACACCTAGTTGATACCACACAGTCACATCTGTAATGGAAAATACACTATATTTAACAAAACAGCAAAGTTGCTCTAGGCATGAATGCTTCTTCTATCTTTCTGCTGCTT